GTTGAATGAGTCGCCACACCAATGTGTATTCACAATAGCTGGTTAGCAGGAACCTCAGACAGTGCGACCAAATATGCAATATATATATATATATATATATGCAATATGTATGAAATAATAGAAGCTGGGTAACGTGACTCCCACAGCGATCGATTCTCACACTGAACTTTTCAATACTCGTTTCACGTACAACACCACTAAGTTGGTTAGACCGATCCTACTTTTATCGCTTCCGTGATGTAAATTCCGAACATGTCAGTCATTTGTGTACTATCAGACGTTTTGCATGAGTACAACATATGAGATGGACCGAACAGCATGAAGCCAAATATAGCCGAGGTGCTTCTAAGCTGAACCGGGATAACCACTGGGGCAATAGGTTGGAAGACAAGTGCGTTGTATCTACTGTGTGTTCAGACCCCAAAACATGGGTGAATGAAAGGAGGGCCTACTGAACAACCGGCGTTATTTGTTTTTTGATGGCACCTAATGTCCGTGTCCGACTTCACTCTACAGATCATTCACCCGACAATACCCTTCAGCGTGAGTTGTTGTGTACCTTTTAGGCTCTTCGGTCGGCACGGGGTTAGTTTGTGTCTGAAACCACTTGGGTTTTGTCTCAGTGGCCAATATTTTTGGCCCTGCGACTCCTTTTCAGCATATTGCCTGCGATATTCATCATGTCTGCCGATACCTACCGCCAAACGCATTGTGAGCTTCCTGACGTTTCACCATCCGGATTGGGAAGGCTAGAGCAGCTATCTGCCGATAACTACCGCCAAACACATTGTGAGCTTCCTGACGTTTCACCATGGCTTACTTCATTGTGAACTTAGCTTCCTTTTTTTCTAGGTTGTAAGTAACGGGAAGTTCACTGCTGTATCTGTCAGTGAATGCAGTTTATGACTAGATGTTACAGTCAATAGCATATTTTATCTTTCAACTACTTGCACTTTAGTTCCAGGCGATCGGTGCTATTAAATGCTCTCAGCAGTAAACTTTTCAAGAACAAGTAAACGAATCAAGTAAACAAATCTCTAGATGCGAGGGTTCTGCTCTCTCTTAAATCGAAAACCCAAAACAAGTAACTCATTTAGGGCAATGATAACAACAGTTTATGACTGGTGAGATTGTCTGTAGTGGATAATATTGAGGTGGGTCAGCTCCGTAGCAGCATCGAAGTTTGTTTCGATCGTATCTTTGCTTGCAAGGCAGTCTCATCTTTTGATCGACAGTGCTTTGTGGGAAGCAAACAACACTGGGTTCTTTCCTAGTGGCATCGTATGGAACTACGGTTTGATTCATTAGTGTGGTCTTGGGCCGAAATACACTTAGGGGCGAGACGGCTCAGTGAATTTACTGTCCGTGGCGGTTTGCTTCATTAGTGTGGTCTTGGGCCGGAATACACTTAGGGTAGAGACGGCTCAGTGAATTTACTGTCCGTGATTGGTTACTTATTTCGGACCCCAAGGTACGTCTCTCTGTTTGCACACACTTAATCCAAACTTTTTAAAACGCTTTTTGCACTCTCTCAACTTTTCCTACCCGTGTGGTGTTTCCTGCTTTTTGTCTTTTGTAGGCTTATTCGTTGATGGTGCTCTTCCTGGAGGGAATCGCTGGTGGACTTACTTGTACGCGACGTGTGTCGTCTTACTGTGTTTGGGGATTTTACTGATTGGTAGCGCGATGTTTGCCCGCGTGTTGTTCTTCATCTTGACGGTAAGTGCCTTGTTTTGCATTTCACGTATTTCTTCGTCTGTCACGCGGACATTTGACCTTCATGTCCATGGGGTACAGTCGTATCTTCCTACCGGCCGTTTTCTCTCGAGTCCATTTCTGAATGGTTGTCATGTTTCCTCGCGGTTTGCTCCTTTCCTTTCCTAGGTGTTCCGGAGACAGGCGTGTTGTCAGCTACAACGTGATTTCCTGATAGAATGGGAGGCGTGAATACCGACTGTGATTCAACATGAATGGGACCTTGCCTGTGGTTGACGGGGTCGACGCACGGTGTACTAACAACACTCCCTAACTACGGCAAGGCATCATCCAACCGCTGTTTCAAACTGACGACGAGCAGGCTATATTTGTTTGTGGCTATTGTATTGACACGTGCCTGGTCGATCTGCAAAGTCAGGGGGAAGCTTATTGCCAAAGGCGCGTACACTACTTCGTTATCAAGGTCTGGTCGCCTGCCTCAAAATGAACTACAATCTTGCATTGTAGTTCTTCACCGGCGGCTGGTAGTAACACTGGGGCGAGATTGATCAGCGGTTAGAGCGCGAATTCACTAACCGAAAGATCTGTGGTTCGAACCAAGTCTCTGCATATAGACTTCTTCTGTCTAACGTTGAACAATCTGGCAGAGTCTCAGCCGTCGTGCTTTCTTCAGGTGCCATCACAGCTTGGTACAGAAAGGGCGTTACATGTGAATGATACTAACACTATCCGGCTGGAATCACGGGTGCTTTAGGCATGGTAGCCGCTAGGTCTCACGATAGGAACGGGCGGTGGTCGGTGTCTAGCTGAAAATGAGCGATTTCCGTTTGCTTCGGTGCCCTTTGACTCCAAATCAACTCCCATTCTAGTGTCCCCACCAGACTCAGTCTACTGACTTCGACCTTTATGTCGGTGGTAAGGATGAGAGTCTGTATGCGAAGAGACTGTCACGAAGAGACGAGGCAGTTAGACAGCGTGTTTTCGGTTGTGAAACGGGTACTTCCATTGAAGAATGTGTCCAGCACCAGGAGCTGCGTTGGTTAGGACATGTGTTACGTATGCCGAACCATCGTTTGCCGAAGAGAGTACTGTTTTCCATGTCCAATTCGGAGTGGCGTAAACAGAGAGGTGGCCAACCCTTGACTTGGCAGAGGAGTATGAAGGAGATCACGAAACGCTTGGGTGCTGTCGGTGCTACTCGCCTTCCAGGATGGGGACCGCGTGATCCTCACTGTGCCTGGTTGGAGACACTACAAGATATGGCTGCCAACCGATGTCAGTGGCGTTCTTGTTGTCAGTTTCTATCCAGATTGCCTGAGTGAATGTCTGGAGGTGTAGGCACCTCGGAATGATTGTGTTAAGCTAGCACTAAGTCCCTCCCCCATCCACCTTTATTCTTTTCTTTACAATAAGGCTTTCAAATAAGTCATGGTTGTACGGCAGTGAAGCATCGGTGTTGAACACTGATGTCATGCTGTCGATGAGGATGGTGATGATGATTGTTCAGCGAGTGTTTTTTCATACCCGTGAGCTAGTGTTAGTCGAAGCATGTGATGACAAATAAACACCACATCACCGTATCGGTTCTCATTGATCGTGATTGAGCTAGAGCACACAACGGTGACAATTCACGATAACCTGTTTAAGCATGGGGAGTGCAGCCCTGCGGCCAAATTCAATTCGCGTACCATGTATACTACAAGCCGTTCTCTCATGATTACCAAGAAACCGAAAAGTAAAATCTGACGAGGCCGGATTCGTTCTTATGCATGGCTTGAGACCCGATTCTTGTCTACATACTTCAGAAACACAACGTACGTCAAAACACAGTTCAAGCTTCGAATGTCCCGCGACCTGTTTCATAAAACCGATGAACACTGGAAACTGTCATGTGCACTAGATCTGCTGGGTTGATCAAAGCATCATTTGTGTGATTTTAGTGGGCGATTTGCTGGATGCAAGGATCAGACTGCACATTTGATCATGGGATGATCCAACAGTGTCGAATGTCGGGGTAGGGAATCGCTGTAGTTGGACCTTAATCGAAGCACGACCGTGAGGATGAAAGTTCCGGTTTTCCCGGCTGCAGAAGAAGGGTCGTTAGAGTTGCCTGAATTGGAGTCTCCGACTCAGAAGTCAGATCCACAAGGCACTGGTGGAATGTAGGGTTTCGTTCCGGAACATTGTCTTTGACTCAAAAGTTTGTCCCATATGACAGCGAGGACTCTGCCAGTGGCTCACTCTTACCCGTACTCTTGGTTATGCGGGACAGGTCTAGCCTGAAGTTGCGGTGAACGGAGCATGTAGGTCTCGTGCTTGTACGCACGACAGATACATTTAAAGCCTCATCGATTTCTCGTTTGGTTTCTCAACCGTACTGGATGATTGACCGGAGTTACGGTCAGCCGTTGGACGAACAAAATTTGAGGTTCTTAGGACGGAGAAGATGGCATTACCACTCCTGTAGATATGAAAATGCTGCTTGTTTATTGAAAATGCTTATGCTTCCACACTCCTATCGCAAAAGACTAGCCAATTTGAGTTCCAGGTTGACCTACAAAACGATTGCTTGTGCTACCGTGGCTTGTTGCTCTATAGCCTGCCGAACACGGTAGGACTTTGAGAAATATAATTCTGGCTGGTGTAGCCCGCCTGATCACTGAAGCTCTAAATTTCATTGACCACATCAGATTAGCAGCTTTTGTTCGGGCCGTCGTTATTACCTCATCTGTGCGAATGATTCCTGCTGATTAGTTTGAGTCAAAAAATGAATATGGCAATATTTTGATGACTATCTCATGTATTTTCAACATGCGAAGTAAACCTGTTGGCACCTGGTTTCTCACGTTGTTAAACTTCGGCGGAGAAAACCCTTCCGTTTAAGGGCCATATACTGACCGGCCTTGTGAACAGAAGGTTTTACACCAGTTTGAACTAGGCTCTCCTGGCCGCAATACTCTGAACCTGATTAACAAGCAGTCGTCCGTACTCCATTATTCTCAACAATATATTGCCTGTCCACGCCCGAAAAAATGCTAGCCCACTCATCCTCCTGTGAAGCGGAAACGCACGACGAGGCAACTCAGCCAAAGGATGAAGGAACACAATCCACTTTGGCTAGCTTTTGGAACTAAGAGGACGACAGTCAGCTTAGTCGTGAACCCCGTAGCAAATACGGTACAGAGTGTTACGGGGGCGACTTGCATGAGTGGTTAAAGCGCGAATTTACTGACCGGAAGGTTCGTGGTTCGAGCCCGACCTCTACCTCCGACTTCCCCTGTCTAGGCTTAGGCAACCTGACACTATTCCAGCCCTCGTGCTTCCTTCGGACGGTATGACAGCTAGGCACTGATAGGGTGTTACTGCTGAACGATCATCTTCTCAGTGTTATACCCAGCCACAGTTTCCGTATTGTTTAGAAGGCCCCTGTTAATCAACCCGGATTGTTACGGCATTGCACAACCGCGGTGGCTTAAGTTGTCGCCGTACCACATCGTGACCTGATTTCTTGTCGTGCGTTGGACCTGCCATGGTCCTACTACACACACACACACATACACACTGTGTTGAGCACAACTACGGCACTGTCTGCATTGACAAACTCAGGTCATCACATTGATGACTTGAACTGGTTGTTCCATGACAAGCCATTGCTCATTCGGCTTCCTGTTTCAGGTACACCCATACACACTTGAGCACAACTACGGCACTGTCTGCATTGACAAACTCAGGTCATCACATTGATGACTTGAACTGGTTGTTCCATGACAAGCAAGCGTTCAAACGAATGTGAGCGTGCATTCTACAAAATCCCGCAACAACCAACAAGTGAACAAATTTATTCTTTTTAAATCCAATTCAGCTCTTCTCTTTTGCTTCTTCCCAACACAAGCGTGGTGGCAGACGGCTTCCATACAT